TATCCCTGCAGGGAACCCTGAAGGAGAAGACCGTTGAGAACTTGGAGAAGTACGTAGTGAAAGATGTGAGTACTTAGTGTTCATCCAGGTCCCTGCGAGTGTGCGTCGGCCGAAAACACACTGGCATTGTCTCACACTCTGGTACTCTGTGAAGAGGCTGTTTTGTAAAGATGTCTGTTTTGCGTCTCTGTTCCCTTCAGGGGAAGCTGCCTCTTCTCCTCAGCCGAATGAACGAGGTTGCCAAAGTCTTCCTGGCTACTAACAGCGACTACAAATACACAGATGTGAGTATTTCTGAGCGGTTCGCCGTCTGGCAGAAGTGCTACAGAGGGCTGATAAGAGAGCAAAGTTAGCGTTGATCGCTTCATCAGTAGGTTTAGGTTTGAGTTAAAATGAGCTTAAAGTGTTGCAGAAGACCTGACTGTTTCTTTTGCTGCTCTCTCACAGAAAATCATGACCTACCTGTTCGACTTCCCACATGGCCCAAAGGTAAAATCAGACCTGCTGAGTCGGCAGAAAAACGCTTCACGAATCAGCCTTTGACTCTCTCAGACGTGTGTGTAACGGAGTGTGTCTTTACGCCCTCCACAGCCGGGTTACCCCCACCGGCCCTGGCAGTCCTACTTCGACTTGATTCTGGTGGATGCCAGGAAACCGCTGTTTTTCGGGGAGGGCACAGTGCTCAGACAAGTGGACACGGTGAGCGCACACAGAGCACCCAGCACAGACAGGGCAGCACGCCGCGGCTTAGGCTCCGTGCTGAGTAATGCAGTCAGATTTAGGACCATTAAATTTAGTGCCCACATGAGTCAAAATCACCGTATGACTAAATGCAAAATAGATGAGTACATGAAAAGCTCGGAAAAACTTTTAGACTCTTATTAATTGACATAGGCTTAAAAAACACTGGCCAAATGTTCGTAACAGAGACATCCAGGTGTTTTACTTCTTTGGCTTCCTGCACAAATCAGTTATTTTGTTTTGAAATTTTATTTTTGTTTTCAGACCACAGGACGTTTAAAGATAGGAACTTACACCGGACCTCTCCAGCATGGAATAGTGTACTCTGGAGGTAAGACTTGTCTTTATTCCAGTCACTGGTTCATTAACTTGGTTTCTTCATTTTTAAAAGTGAGGAAGTGTCGCTGATGAGGTGCTTCTGTCCCCTAAGGATCCTCAGACATTGTGTGCGACCTGCTGGGGGCCAAAGGAAAGGACATAGTGTACATCGGGGACCACATCTTTGGAGACATCCTCAAGTCCAAGAAACGGCAGGGCTGGAGGACGTTCCTGGTTATACCTGAGCTGGCCCAGGAGCTGCACGTCTGGACCGACAAGAGCTGTGAGTGTGGAGGGAGACGTGTCATTTACAGCTTATCTGGGTCTCTTTGGCCACGCCGTGTTTGGTACCATTTCCTGTGAGCAGAATGAAGAGCAGGGGTTTTCTTCACACGGTTATCTGATCTGTGAGCAAATGTCATGTAGATAAGTGTGTTCGTGAGAGTCGAGATCAGCATTTAGCATCTCGTTTGGGGTCTTTACTTAGTTTAACGAGCTTTTCCTGTGTGTGTTTCTCAGCATTATTCGAGGAACTTCAAGGTCTGGACGTCTTCTTGGCCGAACTTTACAAGTAAGAACATTTAAGTTCTCCTAACCCCAGCCCCCCATCCCCTTCACCTCATCCTGTGTCCCCCACGATGTTTGCTGCACTTTTTTCACTACATGTGAGCATATATGTGAAAGAGGACCAAGGGGGCAATAGGGTAAAGTCTGGAGGGTCGGCTCAGGCAGGCCGTCTGATAACCAGGTTCACCCACAGTATTTATAGCCCGGCATAACTTACTGTCACAACCCTTTGACACACTGCCGTTCAGCAAACTGATATTGGCACATATCTCCGATTCCCCCCCCCCCACACACACACACATACACACACACACACACACGTACACACACACCCCTCCTCCTCATCTTTCGCCTTCGTCTCTCCTCAGACATCTGGACAGCAGCAGTAACGAGAGGCCCGACATCAGCACAATTCAGAGAAGAGTCAAGGTACGTTTCCGTGGCAACCGGAGGCGTGTCCACATGCTTTTAGCGCTAGCCGTCGGACCCGAGAGCGCCGCACAGTGCATTTGATAGCGCTGCACTGTGTGGACTTCAGTCTAATCATTAACAGTAGTCATTAAGCGTTCGTTCAGCTTCTTCCCTGTTCAGCCATCGTTTCCTGTCAGCCGCTAAAGAAGGCAACAATTAGATTTTATCAGTGAGTAAAACCTGACCCCCTAAAAAACCAGAGACCTTAATCAAGGTCCTGTGTCCGCTAGCTTTCATGATGCATTTGATGATCCCTACTGAAAAGCATCTTGTGCTGAGCTGCGTCTAAAAGCCATCAGGCTCAACAAGCCTCAACAAGCTTTTAATCCCCATTTAAGACAAAAGCCACACAGAGCTCCTGAATCCGCAGCCTGTCGGCACTCTTCAGAACTCCCCAGCAGCTGAATGGTTCCTCCCTCCTTTTTTTTTCCGTTATGATTTAGAAGTTAGTCCTTTTGCGCCTGTCAGTTGGAGCAGGGTGATGTAATTTCCATTTGCTTATCAGGGACTCAGCGTATGCTGTGTTTTAACTTCTGTAGACTCAAACATTTGCATATTCTCATTTATAAAGCCATCCCCCAAAACAGGTTTCTATTTATTCCAGTTCATTTACTGAATGGAGGAAAAAAAACAAGCAAATTCCTTCAAAATGACACAAGTTTTAAGGAGCCTTTAAGATTTGTTATAAAATTAAGTTAGAAAAGCTATCACAGACCGTATTTGATTTTTTTTAAAGTTCTTGAGACTATATATTGGTGTCTTTATTTTCTGATTTAAAAAAAAAAGAGCCCAGATTAACTAGAAAATGTGCCTCATTAGCCGGTGGGCCCGTTTTGTCTCCGCCTGTCCCTTCAGAAAGTGACCCACGACATGGACATGTGCTACGGGATGATGGGCAGCCTTTTCCGCAGCGGCTCCAGACAGACGCTCTTCGCCTCCCAAGTGATGCGCTACGCCGACCTGTACGCCGCCTCCTTCATCAACCTGCTGTACTACCCCTTCAGCTACCTGTTCAGAGCTGCACACGTACTGGTGAGAACCCCAAAGCCATACAGACGAGCTCTTTTCCCTAAGCGACCGTGGCGGTAAAACCACTGAAACGCTTTTTTCCTAACCCTTGTGTGGTGTTCGGGTCTGTGGGACCCGTTTTCATTTTTACTAAAAGAAAAATGATAAAATGAATTCATTTTTCAAACTGAGACTCACCGGCTTTGGCTCATTTTCTGTGAAGAACATATATCAGAATACATATTTAATGACCACACACCGTACACCCCCCCTACACATTTACACTATTACATATAAGATGTCCGGGTCCACTGGACCCGGGGTTAATAGAAGTGTGGAAATTGAAGTTCTGTGTAACACACACACACACATGCATTCACAATGTTGCAACCTTGTGTGGGAGCTGCAGGTGCATAAACTCAAAAGAAACAGTTCCCACACATTGTTTGTCTGCTCTAATTTTCTCGCACATTTGACCCCGTCTATTTGCTAAAAATTGGGGGCGGGACCACACTTTGCCAGTGTGTGTTTTCTTATAACCGATCAAGATGGCCAAAAGGTGCTCTGCCCAGAGGAATTGAATTGATTTTGGATGAGAGAGAAAAGTTAAGATAAGGTAAACATCTGTTCAGTTTGATTTTGAGGCATTAAAAGCCACAAAATGCAACGGGTCCGTCAGACCCACAAACGCTGGCTGAGTAACAACAATATGAACATCACACAAGGGTTAAAGTTGAGGTCAGACTGGGTGTCCTGTGGGCTCTACAGCAGCCTGTAGTTGGAGGAGAAACAGATCCGAGCGCGTGTTTCTCGTTTCCCTCTCAAACCTTTGTCTCTTGCCCCCACCAGATGCCCCACGAGTCAACAGTGGAACACACCCACGTGGACATAGACACAGAGTCGCCGTTGGCAACGCGCAACCGCACGCACTGCAGCGACTGTAAGGAGCTGGAGTGCAAACGCAGCCAGCTTACCCGCTCCTTCAGCGAGATCAAACCTCCCAACCTCTTCCCCCAGACTCCCCAGGAGATCACTCACTGCCATGATGAGGATGATGATGAGGAGGAGGAAGAAGAGGAGGAAGAGTAATAAACTAGATGGACAGAGATGAGCCGTGTTCCTGTCGCCTTATGTTTCCCGATAGAGTTTCTCAAAGCGCAGCAGGGGGGCAGAACCTCTCCAGTGTGTGTGTGTGTGTGTGTGTGTGTACCCAGATCATATATTTACTGTAAATGTCAACATTGTATGCACACAAACACACACTCACACACACACACACACACTGGAGAGTTCTGAGGAAGTAGAACGGAC